GTCCTGCGCCTGTCGTTTGGGGCTGGCATTTCTATTCCAGCACCAATAGACTGCTCTCTGGATACAGAGAGGCTAGTGTGTTGTTTTGAGACAGGGTCTTTCTGTAGCTCGGCTTGGCAGACTTGGTAGTATGTAGCCCATTGTTATTGAACTTCCTACTTAGGAGAAGGTGTCCTTGACCTCCTGATCTTCCTGTGTGAAGCCTCCTTAACTCTTGAAATAAAGAAATCTGACTCCTGAGTGCTGGGAGTAAGGCATGCGCCTCTATGTCCAGAGTCACTCACAGATGTAGGCAGAGACCTGGAGAATGGTAGGTAGTGAACGAAAATTGCCTCTCATTGGTTACTCTCTAACATTAACATGACCAATTTCACCAATTTGTTTGGGACGTGTTGATGAATTTGTCCAAATCATTGAGAATATTTCTAAGAGAGAAATCAGTACACATAAGTATTGACTTTGGAGACATCTGATGAAAAATTAGGATAAGGGTCTGTAGAAACAGGTTAATCAATCACCTGACCAAGAGGACATGGTCTAATTAATGGCCAGCAAAACGAGCAAACAAGAATGAACATGACCATTCCTTGCTTGTGTGTGAAATGGTACATGATCATCCCAGGACAGGGCCAAGGGGATACACAATCAGTATTTGGCACTCATTGGTTCAACCCACATTTATGCCTTGAAAATGGCCAATCTCAATAAGAAATGACCAACTTCACTTTCAGTTCAGAACAATGTAGGTGGACATTAATCATCATCTTGGCTACCTTCATAGTCGGGAACATTTCTCACTTTCCCTTAATAAACTTTCCCTTTGCTCACTCCTTTGCATTCCTTATCCCTCATGAAGGACAGACCAAACTGTAGAGCCAGTGGCTCAGGTGGTTCTGGTGGCCACTGATCAATCATTGATCACCTTAGCATCTAACACAGACAAGAAAGGTGTCCTGCTTTCACCACCGTAACTATGGTAAAATATAACACAGAGCAATGGAAGAGAGAGCTTACTTGGCTTACAGTGTCCAGGTCACTGTCAGTTAGTGGAATTCAGGCCAGAATTCAATCACCTACACATATCACTGATACAGTCAAGAGAAGAGAGACCATATAGGCATTCTTGCTTGTTATTCATCTAGCTTGTTCTGTCCTAACACTGCAGTCCTGGGTCTGAGACTTGAGGTAGTCGAGTCTGTGCGCAACAATGAAGACAAATGTGCCCAAGGGACATGTTGATCTAGAATGTCAACAGTCAACTAGCCCTGCTCTGAGGGTGTTTTGTGAGTTAGTTGTGTGATCTGATGGCAATGGTGGCTCTTTTACTTGAGAGCAGCATTCTAAATACACATCTTCTTTCAAAACACACAACAAGTTACATTTTAAAAAGATCAAGAGCTGGAGAAAAGAATTAGCGATTAAGAGTGCTAGTTGTACTACCAGAAGACCTAGCTTCAATTCCCAGAAATCACATGATAGTTCACTCAAGTTCCAGGAGACTCAGTGCCATGTTATGGCCTCCAATGTTACCAGGCACCCATAGAATCGTGGCTTTAGATGTACCTATACATATATTTCTAAAATGGTAAGTTCATAAAAAGGACACATAAAAAGGACACTGATGTAGAACAGTTTGGATCAGGCTTCCTTAGGATGTTTTGAGCACTGAAATTGATCCACATGTGTGACACCAAAATTAAAGAGCTGATAAAGATGACCAGGAGTTTAAGATAGCCTCTGATACATAGCAAGTGCAATATAAATCTAAAGTATATGAGACCCTATTTCTAAAAAAACCTTGAAATAAAAACAGACCCATAAGGATCAGGGGATGGTGAGGTACAGCTATAATCCCAGAAATTCAGGAAGCCAGACTGCTTCAAATGTAAGGTCAGCATGGGCTACATAGCACAAGGCCTGCTAAAGCAGAGCTATGCAAAAGAAGCTGCCTCAAAATAACAAAAAGCAGCAGAGTGGGAAGCAATTTGGACATGTACACAGCGTGACTTCCAGAAGCTATCTAAGAACTTCCTCTGAGAAAGTGCACCTGTGTCCTAGCCAGCGTCCAGTAATATTCTCTGTGTGACAAACCACTATGTATCAAGGAACCCAAGGATCTTAGCCCTCTATGCACCTAACAGATTGATCAAAGGAAATGTGGCCCCATCTGCACCTGATGGAATGATCACTGGAGCCTGTGGCCCTGTCTGCACCTGGAAGAGCAAGCTGGAGGACTCCTTTGCCTGCATCAGGAGGAGTGATCACTGGGGCCACAGCTCCCAACTGCACCAAATGGAGAAACAGTGACCCACCGTGAAGCTCAAACTCCACTTGTACTGATGGAGGAACAGATGGGTAGACGACAGAAACTAGTGGTTCTACAACAGCAAGACACGAATATCCCAAACCAGATGAAGCAGAAGACAATGACCCTAAAAATAACTTGACGGAGATGATGAGGCCCTTATAGAGGAAATGGCGACAATCCCTTAAAGATGTAGAAGAAAACAGAAACAAAAAATTGGAAGAAATCAACAAGATCCCTTAAAGTAAACCGAGAAAAAACAATCAAACAGATAAAGGAAATGGTTAAAGACTTAAAAACTGAAACAGAGACAAGAAAGAAAACACAACCCCAGGGAATTCAGGCAAGGAAAAATCTGAGTAAATAATCAAGAATGACAAATGTGAACATAAACAACAGAATACAAGAGATGTGAGAGGGAATCTCAGGTGTTGTAGATACCATCGAGGAAATGGATTCATGGGTCAAAGAAAATGTTAAATCCAACAAGCTCTTATCACAAAATATCCAGTAAATTGGGAACACAATGAAAAGACTGAAACTAAGAATTACTAGGGATAAAAGGAGGCATGGTCCAGGAAATCAAAGGAACAGAAAATACATTCAACGAATTCATAGAAGATAACTTTCTTAACATAAATGATATGTCTGTGAGAGTACAAGAAGTTTACAGAAAACCAAATAAATTGGATCAAAAAAGTTCTCTTGCCACATATAATGTAAGTACTAAGCACATGGAATAAAGAAAATATTAAGAGCTTCAAAAGAAAATGCCAAGTAATATATAAAGGCAGACTTATCAAAAATATATCCCACTTCTCACTGGAAACAAGGAAAACCAGAAGGTCTTACACAAGAGTTATGCAGACACTTAAGGGACCACGGATGCCACCTTAGTATACTATACCTAGCAAAGCATTCAATCACTATAGGTGGAGAAAAAAAGATACTCCTTGACAGAGCCTGATTTTAAAAAGTACCTATCCACAAAGCCTGCCCTACAGGATGTGCTAGAAGGAAACCTCTAACCAAAGGAAGTTAGCTACACCCACAAAAAATACAGGCAATAGATTATCCCCCACCAGCTAAATCCTAAGGGAACCCACACAGAATACTAACAACACTAAAACAAAAGTAATGGAAAGTAGCGATAACTGGTCATTAATATCCCTTAATATCAGTGGTCTCAACTTGCCTATGAAAAGACAGATCAACAGAATCCATATGGAAACAGAGTCCATCCTTCTGCTGCATACAAGATGCACCTCCAGTTCAAAGATAAGCGTTACCTGACAGTAAAGATTGGGAAAGATTTTGCAATTAAATGGACCTAAGATACAAGCTGGTGTAGGTATCATAATATCTGACAAGGTATTCGTCAAACTAAAATTAATTAATGGAGATGAGGGATATTTCATATTCATCATTACAGAAAAAAATCCATCAAGATGAATTCTCAATTCTGAATTTCTATGCCCCAAATATAAAGACACCCACATTTGTAAAAAAATTTTTGCTTGGAAGCCTGTCATGCTTCTGATCTTCCAGCTTGTGTATAAGTTCTTTCTCTGGTAAATAAATATATCAATTTCCATATTGTATTGACTATCCTTGTCACCCAGCAATACCACTTTTGGTCATATACCCAAAAGACGCACACCACACCACAGGGGCATTTGGTCAAGTGTGTTCATAGCATTATTTGTAATAGTCAGAACCTTAAAAACAACCTAGATGCCCTTAGGATGCATAAAGAAGTTGTGGTACACCTACACAATGGAGCATACTAAGTGGTAAAAGCAAAGGAAAACAAAACAAAAACCAACTTGAATATTGCAGGCAAATGGAAGGAAGTAGAAAAAAATCTTGAATGAGGACTAATATGGCATATTCACTCATAAGTGGATATTAGATATTAAATTAGAAACCAACCAGTCTACAGTCCACCACCCCAGAGAAACTAGGTAGCAAAGAGGGCATACGTGGATCTGCCTAGGAAGGGAAATGGAGAAGATCTCCTGAGTAAATTGGGAGCATGGTAGAAGGTGAGAGGGGAGGAGGGAAGGGGACTGAGGAGGAGAACATGACGTAATGGGGTGGTCAGTTTGGGGGAAGGACAGGGCAGGAGAGCAAGAGAGATATGCTATGACAGAGGAAGCCATTATGGATGAGCAAGAAACCACAGAGATCCACAATTAACCACTGGCCTGAGCTTCTGGAGACCAGTGAAAGAAAGGGAGGAATGCTAATATGAGCAAAGGGGTCAAACCAGGATGGAAGAAAATCACAGAAACAGCAGACCTGAGCTAGCAGGAGCTCATTGTCTCCACACAGACAGCTGGAAAACCTGCTTAGCACTGATCTAGGCCCACCTGAATGCCGTTGACCGTGGTGTAGCATGGGCAGTAATTGTGGGCTAATGGCAGTAGGAATGGGATCTATTCCTGTGCATGAACTGGACTTTTGGAGCACAGTCCCAATGGAGACATACCTTGCCCAGCCTAGGCACAGCGGTGTGGGCCTTGGTCCAGCCTCAACTTGGTGTTGTGACTGACCTCATTGACTCCCCATGGGAGGCCTTTCCCTCTCTAAGGAGAAGATGCAAGTTGGGATGGGTAAATGTAGGAAGGAGCAGGAGGGGAGGGAGGGTGAACTGGGAAACAGAATAAATACAGATAAAAAAACAAACAAAGCCTCATTAAACAACACAATTTATTTGAAACTTAACAAACATAACTCAATGATATGGGGGTGCTAGTAGAGCTGATGGAGGTGGTCTTCTTTCTCATGGTGCAGGGGCATCTGCACTGGCTTGTGATACTTGAATAACGTACCAAGCTGCAGAGAGCAGAGACATTAGGTGACACAAGTGCTAACAACGCTGGGAACACCTTGTCAGCCCACCTCCTGCATCTGCTGGTCTGTAATAAGAATCCCAAAGGCTTGGCTTGCTGGGCTCTGTCATCACCTAGCATCCAGAGAGGACCACCCCAGTGTTCTCAGCAGCATCACCCTGTCTCACTCTCCAGGTTTTGCCACCAGGATGCTCCTGCATGACGGTCAGGTCTTCCAAACGCTACCTGGTCCTTCAGCTAACTTTGTGCTTCTTTTTTATCACTATATTTACTTGGGTGTGTGTGTGTGTGTGTGTGTGTGTGTGTGTGTGTGTGTGTGTGTGCGCGCACGCAGATACACTCACCTGTAATATGTTTACAGTTGTGTGCTTGTGCATCTGTGTGCTTGTATATATCCATGTGTGTTCTCCAACGTTTATGTATGTAGCACATGTATTCCCTCAAATGTCAACTCCGAGATGCTGTACACCTTGTGTTTTGGACACAGGCTTTCTCAAGTCCAGCAAGGTTGAAGCACCTGCAGCCAAGAGTGGTGGTGTTTGTGGTGGTGCACGACTTTGATCCCAGCACTTGGGAGGCAGACGCAGGCAAATGTCCGTGAGACAAAGGCCAGTCTGCTCTAGAGAGACAGAGTCAGACAGAAAAACCCTGTCTCAAAAACATAATAAAACAAAATGACAACAAAACAAATAGGACATGCACCTGTCTCCATCTCAAGTGCTGGGTTAAGAAGCCTCAGCCAGCCTGCTGGTTTTTCCCTCGATTTCTGGGGAATGAACTCATATCTCACAATGAAAGTAGGCACTCTATGGACAGACAGGCACGGTCCCAGCCCTCCTGTGCTTCTGAATCTCACCCAGGTGTGGATTTCACAGACTTTACTCGCAACCCAGTCATCTCCATTGTGGAGTGCAGGTCCAGGAGCAGCAGTGGGTCTATGAAATTTGTTCAGGGACATCTGGACAGCCCAGCTCTGAAAGCTATTTTGTCTGTAATCATAAATGGGAAAAAGCAATGAAAGAAGGAAGGACAAACACATGTTAGATGGGTTTAACAGGGCAAACCTCCCTCCACCCCATTCTGAAACCCACCTAACCACCATAATCTTGTCCAGATTTGAAGCAGGGACTGCAGCAGATCAGGTGCCCTACCAGGGAACAGGTTTAGAGACGCCACAAGGGGGCAGCAAAACATCAGAGTGTCTCACAGCTTCAAGAGCCAGCTGAATTCTGCCTTTCTCATTGGCACAGGAGGGAGTCTCCATGCCCTCCATGCCTCCCTCCTCACTCCTCCCACATGACCAGTAGGAAGTACTCCCTGAACAGTTCCTTAGTGCAGTGCACAGGCGATGACTTAATGCTCAGGCCAATTCCAGATGTGAATCACCTCTGGATGCTCTGGTTTCATGTCTCCATGGGAAAGGCATTCTGATTCACCAGGAATATGAAGTTGTGATGGGCTTCCATGGCATTCTTTCCTCAGATATGGGCATTTAGATTTGGGAGTAGGGATTGCTTATTGCACATAGTGTCGTTCCTCCTAGACTGGCCTCAAACTCTCTGCTTTGGAAGATGACCTTGACTGCCTCATCCGCTTGTCTCTACCCCCAATATCAGGGAAGCTCCACCTGGTTGTAATTTGTGCTGGGAAAGAACCCAGGACCAAGAATCACTCTACAGGCTGGACACACTGATCCCTAGTCCTCCTGGTCACATTCTGTTTTTAGAGAGAGATCTCACACTGCCACCAAAGCTAGACTACTTCTCCTTATATTGCCAAGGCTTGCCTTGAGTCTATGGCAAGTCTACAATCTAAGCCTCTGGAGTCCTGGAATTATTGGCATAGTCCTTCACCCTTGCTCTGCCATCTAGTCTTAAGAGAAATCCACAAAGTGCCTAGAAAGGGCAAATGGGAGGGAATGAGACCCCAGGGGCGAGGGCACTAAACCTTCAAGCAGTGGGGTTGAAGCTCCATCTTCCTACTATCATCAGCTGCTGCTGTGGACATGCGCTGGAGAGTCTTCTGCCTTCCATTCTGGCCCATCCTGAGGGCTGCTGATCAGAACAGGGCTTCAAGGATACCTGGCTACACAGGTGATGACCTGGGCTGCTGTACACTGACCTGAGTGTCCTTGACATGGCATGGGATGGGGACAGCTTCCTTTACCTCCCTCCCGCCCAGGTCACAACTCACCAGCTTCAGAAGAAAAGTGGTGTCTGGCCACAGTTCTTTCCTTCAGTCCTTCAAAAGACTCTCAGTAGAAAGATAGGTCATGTAGAAATGGTAAAAGAGAAAATGCAGGGTAAATGGTGCAGTCCGGTAATTCCATAGGGACCCAGAACTCCAGATCTTCCTCAGCTACACTGAATCCCCTGATAGGCTGAGATACAGGTGTGACTCAGTTGGGACAGCTCTTGCCCAGCATACAGGAAACCCTGGTTTTGTCCAGAGGATAAAATAAACGAGACTTGGTGGAGAATTACTGGAATCCCTGCATTTGGTACATGGAGATTGAAAGATTCAAAATTTAAGGATATCCACAGCTACATGCGTCATTTAAAAACAAAATCACAAAACCCAATGGGATTAGGTTCTGACCTGAAGCCCCAACACTCAGTTGGCCAGTGGTAGGAGGCTGCCAGTCCTTGGCAGCGTGGACTGCATACAGAAAACCTGTGTCAGCATAAGAGGAGAGGGGAAAAAAGGTTTTTTAGGGGACTGATAGTTAAGTCACTGTGGGGTTTAAGAGTCAGGAATTTTGGAAATGACAATAAAATACCAGGAATATAGGGTCTAGACAGTATTGAGGAAAAACAGGTAAGGCAGGATTGCTGAATTGTACATAATGAGTATGTGTGTGTCTGTCTGCTCTCACATTTGAGTACGTGTATATACCAGAAATATTCAGCCAGTGCTTTTACACTTTAATTCTCTTGTTTGCTTTTTGAGACAGGGTGTCTCTGTGTATAACTGGCTGTGCCTGATCTCTTTCTATAGCCCAGTCTGTAGACCAGAATTCACAGAGATCAGGCTGCCTCCCCCACCCACAGTCCTGGGTTTAAAGGGGGCTCCGGGCCCATGGGCAGCCACCTTACTTTTCACATGAGGGTCTCACTGATCCCAGGCCATTCCTGCTTGTCTTTTCATTCACACAGCTCCCAGCGCCAGTGTCCACATCTCAGACTTGAAATATTCAAAATGTGCATGTTCTTTGTGATGGGCTACACTCAGCCTGGAACTCCCTACACTGGCCTCAGCTGCTCCTACTTAACAGGACAGAAGGGTTCAGACCTGGAAATTCTGGCTTGGGGAGTTGGAGAAGAAGGCGAAGATCCTGCTGCAAGTCATCTTTTCCTACAGAGCAGCCTGCCTGGGACAGAAGAGATCGAGACTAAACCACAAATGCTAGCAGCGTTCCAGTGCACCTAAGGAGTTCTGAGTCAGCAGCACCACAGGGAAATAAATCCAGCATGGACAACACAGAGCGCTCAGTCCTCCCCGGTTACAGGGCAAGACTCTGTGTGAACATTACAGCAAACACAAGAAAAGAGTTGGGGCAATACTATTCCTACCAACCAAATGTGGACAGAAACAAATGTCAGAAAATAAAATGGAATTGTGCATGGGACATCTTAGCATTACTGTCAGGGAATGAAAGACAATTTCCATCTTGGGTTGTAGACAGAATGGGCTCCCTTAGCATACTTCTGTGATTCGTTTATTTTTAAGCAGGTGATTCAAGGTTTCATGTCTTAGTTATAATCTCTGTATCTACTCCTGTCAATGGCAATTTTATGTTTGTATTAGTGATTGCTGTTCATGGCCTTCTTCAGGGACTAGTGATTCTTTTCAGATCCAGATTAAGACAGAGCAGCTTACCTGCATGGAAGTTGTTCATGTATAAGTAGACACACAGGGACAGAGATGGAGGCAGAGAAAGTTGAGAGAGAGAGAGAGAGAGAGAGAGAGAGAGAGAGAGAGAGAGAGAGAGAGAGAGAGAGAGAGAGAGAGAGAGAGAGGTGTGGAGAGAGAGGTGTGAAAAGTCTCACCAGGGGCTCCATATTCCAGTGGATGGGGGGCAGGTGAACAATATAGTTTTGTTACTATTATCAGAATGCCAAGTCAGATTTTCCTCCCAGGGGTGACAGAGTGCCCTGAGAAATCCTCCTCAGGGGTGTCTGAGCAGCTCAGCCTGGTCCAGTGGCTGAGGCCAGAACAGGATCCTGCGGAATCTCCTTTCCCAGGCTGTAGATGGTAGTTAGGAAACTATAGGGTTCTGAGGTGCTCGTGCAACCTCAGAGTAGAAGAAGACACTCCTTCCTTCTCAGATTCGGTTAAAAATGTCTTTCCAGTGAGCTTAGTGTTGCTCAGAGGACATGTCTTAGAAGTTTAACTTCGTGGAACAAGATATGGATAAGCTGGGAAGCACAGATGATGTCCCAGCAAAATGAAGATTCCAGGAACCTTTCCTTCCTGGGTTCAATTTAGCAACTTCCGCGCGCAGCAGAGAACACACTGCGGCTGGCACTAGGCATTGCCTACAGCAGGTGCTGGCCCCTCTTGAAATTTTCATATGTTCCATGTTCAGGACACCCATCATTCCTTCATGCTGAGGCAAGCGGTGTTGAGTTCGGCATCCAGTTCTCAAAGTGAATGACGGCCTTGAAGAAGCAAGCATGGAGAGGCAGCTGGTGAGTAACTAGAGGGCAGAAGTGGTGGAGAGAGCAGAATCGGCTGCCCTTGAGTCACTCCCCAGATGAGAATTTCCAAGTTTTGCTCTGAGTGGGGTCTGAGGACTCAGGACTTTTGCAGGTTTTTGCAAGTGTTTGGCAGGAGGTTGCCCTCTAGAGCATTCTATAGGGCCTCCTACAGGCCAGATTCTCAACCTGAGAGCCCATCTTGGGGATGATGGGACTGGCTAACTAGGAATACTGTCCCTGGGGTGAAAAGGGTCACCCCATGGAGAAGATCATGTTCTCTGCCAGGAAACAAGGAGCCAAGGACAGTCATTACCCAGAGTGCAGTCTGTGATGTTTACCCAGGCAGGGGAGAGGGGTAGGGTCTATTGTCCCACAACACAGCCTGGGCCACCTTTGTAACTCTGCCCTGCCCTCTGAACAAGACCCCATGTAAAGCCTGCCCTTCCCGCCTGGGATTTCACCTGGTGAGTGCTGAGCTGGTGTGGACAGCTGTTCTTCCTCTGCAGGAGCAGCCTGTGGACACACTGCCTCCTGGACATCTGGCCTGGCTCTCCTGCGGGATTGTCCACACCTCACCCGGGCCGATCCCCAACCCGCGGCTCACAAGCCACGGAGCTGGGTCTTGACATTTTCAGGACTACAAAGCAGAAAGTGGGCATAGTCATCATCTGTCACAAAGGACAGGAGGCAAAGAATGAGTAAAATAGTAAGTGTCCCCACCTGATTCTGTGGGTGACTCCACGATCCTGTTTCTGTGGAGCCAGGTTCTGACAGGCGTCGTGGCTTCTCCTGGCAGGTGGCAGGCAGCAGCACAGGTGTCTGAGGCAGTTCACCATTGTTTTCTTGAAACCCTTCCACCTGTGGCGCCTCCGGTATGGGGAGGAAGCCTGGCCGGCAACCGCAGGCTGGACATGGGTGATGGCCTCCTCCTCTGTGATGCTGTCACCCTGAATCATATTGGGTTCCTGGGTCCTCCTCACTTCCAGGGAGTTGGTTGCTTTCCGATGCCTGTCCTCATGCTGCATTATGGTCTTTTCCTCTATGATGGCCTCAGTGTGAGTCATGGCCCCTCCATCGACCGTGGTCCTTTCTTCTGTGATGGTCTCATCCTGAGTATTTGTCACTTCCGGTGTGATGGCCTCTTCCTGGGATATGGTTGTTTCTTGTATGATGGTACCTTCCTCAGTCATGGCCTCTTCCTGTGTGCTGTTCTCTTCCTGAATTGTGTCTTCCTCTGGTACCATGGTGCCTCCCTGCCTTGTATCCCCAGAGGAGGAGCCTCTGGAAGGTACACTCTGAGCTATGCCTCTGGAGCTGCAGAGTTCCTCTTGGTAACTCCAGGAAGATACACTGCCTGTGTTACATGTGGTCTCCTTGTGGTCTGGACAACAAGAATCGTTGTACATTAAGACAGGTGATGAGTGTGAATGGATACTGTCATTCAGGCTGACATGAGACCCGATCTTTGACTCAGAGGAACTCTCGCTCATTACCACGCTACTGCGTGTAAGGTCAAGAGAACAGGGCCTGTTCGGGAAGACTAGGTGTGGAGGTTGGGGCCTCTCTGCTTGGCGGCATAAGGTGGCAGGCATGCTATGCCTTGTGCCACCCTGCCTGGCAATGTTCTCATGCACTGTCTCCTGAAGATTGGATGACAAGCTGAAGGCCAGGGGAGCAGGCTCAGTAGCTCTCCTTAGGCGCACAGGGGAGGTGTGATGATCTCCCAGGTTGAGGACAAGGCCTGACTGCATGGGTTTCACCTGCTGATGGCAGCTATCTCCCACAGAAGACTGGTGTTGTCGAATCAGGTAAGGGGCCATCACATGCTTATCGATTTGTTCTCTCAGCGAATCAATGGTTTCCTCAGATTTATACCCCATGACCTTCATGGTGTTGTCAATGTTAGCAGGGGTCAGGGTGCCTGGGAGTCTCTGTGTAGAAGCAGGAAAACGCGCAAGGGTGTCCCTGATCATGGGGCACGTCATGATTTGGTCAATGGTCGGCCTGCTGCCCGGGTTGATCATCAGTAGTCGGGCAATGACTATGGAAATATTGGTGGAAATGTGCTGAGGTATTCTGAACTTGGAGACAAAGATCTTATGAGTCACACCTTCATCAGTACTGGCATCAAAAGGAAGGCAGCCAACCACCATGAAGCAGAGAAGCACTCCCAAACTCCACATGTCAGCGGCAAAACCATCATAGGGTTTGCCTAAGAAGAGTTCTGGAGCACAATAGGTCGGGGTACCACAGTAATCTTGCATCATGTGCCCTGGGGGCACTTTTGCTGCAAGGCCAAAATCGCACAGTTTTGCCTTGCCCAAGTTGTCAAGTAATATGTTTTCGGCCTTAATGTCCCTATGGACAATCTGGTTGTTGTGGCAGTAGTGCACTGCGAGGAGAATCTGGGCAAATAGCCTCCGTGCCTCGCTCTCACATAAGCACTTCTGTTGCATAATGTAGTGAAAAAGATCTCCCCCTGATGCATGTTCCATCACTAAGAAGGTGGTATCTCTTGATTGGAACACGTAAAACAATTCGATTATGTGCGGGTGTTTGAGAGTTTTCATGATGTTGATTTCACTAGTAACGAGTGAGGCATACACCTTCTCATTTCTAATTATTTTTATAGCCACATGGGTTAAAGTAGGAACATGGATGGCCAATTTTACCTTTGAAAAGTTGCCCTGGCCCAGGGTCTTCAGCATCCTATAATCAGGCATGAAGGACTCTTCATAGGAGGAGCAGGCCTGCCCCCACCATGTTCTGTGGGTGACTACACGATCCCGTTGATTTGGAGCCAGGTTCTGACAGACAGGTGGCAAGCATAAACAAAGATGGCTGAGCCAGTTCACCATTGTTTTCTTGAAACCCTTCCACCTGTGGCGCCTCCGGTTTGGGGAGGAAGCCTGGCCGGCAACCGCAGGCTGGACATGGGTGATGGCCTCCTCCTCTGTGATGCTGTCACCCTGAATCATATTGGGTTCCTGGGTCCTCCTCACTTCCAGGGAGTTGGTTGCTTTCCGATGCCTGTCCTCATGCTGCATTATGGTCTTTTCCTCTATGATGGCCTCAGTGTGAGTCATGGCCCCTCCATCGACCGTGGTCCTTTCTTCTGTGATGGTCTCATCCTGAGTATTTGTCACTTCCGGTGTGATGGCCTCTTCCTGGGATATGGTTGTTTCTTGTATGATGGTACCTTCCTCAGTCATGGCCTCTTCCTGTGTGCTGTTCTCTTCTTGAATTGTGTCTTCCTCTGGTACCATGGTGCCTCCCTGCCTTGTATCCTCAGAGGAGGAGCCTCTGGAAGGTACACTCTGAGCTATGCCTCTGGAGCTGCAGAGTTCCTCTTGGTAACTCCAGGAAGATACACTGCCTGTGTTACATGTGGTCTCCTTGTGGTCTGGACAACAAGAATCGTTGTACATTAAGACAGGTGATGAGTGTGAATGGATACTGTCATTCAGGCTGACATGAGACCCGATCTTTGACTCAGAGGGACTCTCGCTTATTACCACGCTACTGCGTATAAGGTCAAGAGAACAGGGCCTGTTCGGGAGGACTAGGTGTGGAGGTTGGGGCCTCTCTGCTTGGCGGCATAAGGTGGCAGGCATGCTATGCCTTGTGCCACCCTGCCTGGCATTGTTCTCATGCTCTGTCTCCTGAAGATTGGATGACAAGCTGAAGGCCAGGGGAGCAGGCTCAGTAGCTCTCCTTAGGCGCACAGGGGAGGTGTGATGATCTCCCAGGTTGAGGACAAGGCCTGACTGCATGGGTTTCACCTGCTGATGGCAGCTATCTCCCACAGAAGACTGGTGTTGTCGAATCAGGTAAGGGGCCATCACATGCTTATCGATTTGTTCTCTCAGCGAATCAATGGTTTCCTCAGATTTATACCCCATGACCTTCATGGTGTTGTCAATGTTAGCAGGGGTCAGGGTGCCTGGGAGTCTCTGTGTAGAAGCAGGAAAACGCGCAAGGGTGTCCATGATCATAGAGCGCCTCATGATTTGGTCAATGGTCGGCCTGCTGCCCGGGTTGATCATCAGTAGTCGGACAATGACTATGAAAATATCGGTGGAAATATGCTCAGGTAAGCTGTATTTTGAGTCAAGGACCTGACGCCTCATACCTTCAGGAGTTCTGGCCAAGAAGGGAAAGCGCCCAACCACCATGAGGTAGAGGAGCACCCCCAAACTCCACATATCTGTGGCAAAAACATCATAGGCTTCACCAAAAAAAAGTTCAGGGGCACAGTAGGGCAGGGTGCCACAGAAACCTGTCAGCAGGTACCCTGGGGGTACTTTTGCTGCAAGGCCAAAATCGCAAAGTTTGGCATTGCCCGTGTTGTCAAGTAGTATGTTGTCGGCCTTAATGTCCCTATGGGCAATCTGGTTGTTGTGGCAGTACTGCACTGCGAGGAGAATCTGGGTAAATAGCCTCCGTGCCTCGCTCTCATGTAGGCACCTCTGTTGCATAATGTGTTGACAAAGATCTCCCTGTGATGCGTGCTCCATCACTAAGAAGGTGGTATCTCTTGATTGGAACACGTTAAACAATTTGATAATGTGCGGGTGTTTGAGAGATTTCATGATGCTGATTTCACTAGCAACAACTGAGGCATACTCCTTCTTATTTCCAATAATTTTTACAGCCACACACGTTACAGTAGGAATGTGGATGGCCAGTTTAACCTTTGAAAAGTTGCCCTGGCCCACGGTCTTCAGCATCATATAGTCAGGAATGAAGGACTCCTCAGTGGAGCAGCAGGCCTCGCTGTCCTGCTCCATGGGCAGGTCCTCGGTGATATGTCTAGAACCGAATTCACAAGGGGGAAGTTTAAAGAAACTGTTCAAATCAGGCCCAGGAGAATGTCCATAGCTACACATTCCTATGTACTAAAGAAGACACTCGGAGACATTGCAGACAATCTAAGCAGGTACTTAACTCTCAGGAGAGAAGAAAGCATCTTCCACTGCAGTGGACTGTAGAATATGACACCAATGGGGTATGCAGGAACCATCCAGCAACTCAGAGAATAGAACAAAATCTCATAAGCTAAGAGCCAATCTTTGGGAGTATGACGATCCTCTATCTGAACTGAACACTGACAGAGATGAGGTTCTAGTAAAACCAGAAGGGAGAGCAGTTGCCAAGACAACAGAAACTTGAAAACCCAGAGTGTCCATGTGGGGAGATGGCTAGGGGAATTCACACAGAGAAGAGGCAGCCACCGACTACATCGGGATGTTGTGACAAAATGGGTCCTTCGAACCCCAGGGCCTGGAGTAACATCTGTGGGGGTTAAAGATGACACCATTCATCACATGGTCTCCATTAGGCCTGAGACTTCTCACCTGAAAAGCCCAGGATACCAGAGGCAGAAGCCTGATATGTTCAAAATGGTCAAGAAAATACTTGTCGGCCAGAACCCTAAGACAACCCATGTGCAAGACGGAGCCACACCTTGGAACCCTAGACCCTTCCTCTCACAATCAAAATTCCTTAGTTTTTTCACTTAAAGACAGAAATTGGTTCCTTGTGTATCTGGACATTCCCAAAATAAGATCAAGTACCTGGGGACTGAGTGTATGACAGGAATGCATTCTAATTAGTATTGGTGTGTATTCTCACATGATCAAGAAAAAACATGAATTCAGTCAATAAAGCTATTTTCTAAGGGCCACATCTTCCTCTGTGTGATAATCTCTACTGCTCCTGAGTGCCCATTTGTTAATAAAGTTCTCTTATGTTTGAAGTTTTTAACAGAGACTTTGCAGGACACAGACACATAGTTACACATATAGACAAACACACACTCACAGAAACACACACAGATACTCACACAGGAACACACACACAGACACACATACACAAACATACAGACAGACAGACACACACACACACAAAGACACAGACACACAGACACAGACACAGACACACAGACACAGACACAGACACACACACACACACACACACACACACATCCTTCAATCAGACATGATCCAACTAGCTGTGCCCACCCCGAGGACAGTCCTTCAGGGTCAGGTGATGCATCTTGTATAGGAGCTCAATGGGAAAGCCAGCAACATAGAGTCTGTGCTCATAAAAATAACCTTGGATAAGAGCGTGGAGACAACAACAGTTGATAGGAATTAGCTATAGGGAGGATGGGATGTCAGGAATAGAGATAAGGGGATGTAACAGAAGGAGCATGGGGGTTTTTAGAGATTCTGGGTCATTTGTTGTGGGGTGAGTAGAGAGACACTCTACTCGTTGGGTATCTGTCCAAATAGGAAGGTTGGCTAATTGCTTCTCTACCTCTGAGAGTTTGCAGGCTCTCTTTACACTTTTATTAACTATGTTATTGAATACTTTTCAGCTGCCCTGTTCCATATATTTCATCGGTAAAACAGGATCTGACTATTTTCTCTGTCCTTGCCAATCATGACCTTGGACTGCCAGGAAGATCCCAAGATAACCACCTACCTGGAGGCTTTCTGCCAAAGCCCAGACACATTGGTGCCCTTCCCTAAGAGACCATCCATTGTGGTCTGTCAGTCCTCTCAACAGTACACATGACTTAGCCTGTACTCATAAAATGGTTGCGTTAAAAAGGGAAACACTGAGGGACTGGGAAGAGGTAGGCAGGAGGCAGTGACCTCAGGGGAATGTGGTCCAAGTTTTTGTACATGTATGTAAATGCCCCCATGAGAATCTTGTTCAGTTAATATAGACTGATATTTTTAAATGGCAAAAGAAGAGATGAGTCCAGATGAAATGACACATTAAAATAGAGTAAATTCAGCCGGGCTTTGGTGGCACCCCCCTTAAGTCCCAGCAAATGAGAGGCATCGGCAGGCAAATCTCTGTGAGTTTGTGCCATCCTGATCTACACATGAGTTCCAGGAAAACCTCCAAAACAATACAAAGGAACCCTGTCTCAAAAAAACAAAAAATAAAACATAGAGTAAATTCTAATAAAAAAAATTGCCACACATTGTACCCCAAACCAAAGAAGAAGGGCTGTAGATTTAGTTTAAATTCAGAGAAAGAAAATCTCTAAACCTGGAATCTAGAAACAGGAGGCCACTCACTGTGTTCAGATTCACGACTCAACACTATCCAAGTGCAAGCAGCTCACTGATAACTGAGTATCAATAGTCTCCAACCAGCTAACAGCTTCTGAACTGTAAGGACTGGAGTCAGCCTCAGCCAGAGCTGTTAGTGCAGATGAGTCAGTCATTGTGAGGTCACAGCAAGAAATGGACCAATGATGCCTCAGCACACCTCGCTGGTTTTCTTACCTTCTGTCACCAAGGACAGGAAAGCTAGTCTGTTCTGTTCAGTGTGGCAGTAGGAGCCTGATGAAACTGGCTACATTCAAATGGCTGTCCCCAATGTGTCCAGTGAGCCACTACTTCTTATAAAGCTAACATTCCTGAATCCACAAGATTTCCCAAATGGTGTCACCTGGTGGGGACTGTGTCCAAACACTTGATTCTTTGTGGGACATTGACACCCAAACCTTAACCAGGATGTGTTTTACTTTCATAATGAACCAGAATCATAAGAATGACAAAGCATCCCGCAACATTGGCCCTCCCTTGGTTATGGATTCTGACATTCTCAGGGTAGTAGGGGCATAGTGTTTTGCTTTTCTTTTAGAACCTAGCACCCTAGGACAAGGATTAATAACTCCACATGTCTACGCTCAAAGTTTTCAGGTTATTTTTCTGTAAAGACTGATTCCTGGGCTCTATAGGATGACTATATTGGGATGTGATGACAAAATTCTGTGTTCCATTGCACCCTAGGGCATGGAACATGCATCTGTGGGGGTTAAAGATGACACCATTCATCACATGGTCTCCATTAGGCCTGAGACTTCTCACCTGAAAAGCCCAGGATACCAGAGGCAGAAGCCTGATATGTTCAAAATGGTCAAGAAAATACTTGTCGGCCAGAACCCTAAGACAACCCATGTGCAAGACAGAGCCACACCTTGGAACCCTAGACCCTTCCTCTCACAATCAAAATTCCTTAGTTTTTTCACTTAAAGACAGAAATTGGTTCCTTGTGTATCTGGACATTCCCAAAATAAGATCAAGTACCTGGGGACTGAGTGTATGACAGGAATGCATTCTAATTAGTATTGGTGTGTATTCTCACATGATCAAGAAAAAACATGAATTCAGTCAATAAAGCTTTTTTCTAAGGGCCACATCTTCCTCTGTGTGATAATCTCTACTGCTCCTGAGTGCCCATTTGTTAATAAAGTTCTCTTATGTTTGAAGTTTTTAACAGAGACTTTGCAGGACACAGACACATAGTTACACATATAGACAAACACACACTCACAGAAACACACACAGATACTCACACAGGAACACACACACAGACACACATACACAAACATACAGACAGACAGACACACACACACACAAAGACACAGACACACAGACACAGACACAGACACAGACACACACACACACACACACACACACACACACACCCTTCAATCAGACATGATCCAACTAGCTGTGCCCACCCCGAGGACAGTCCTTCAGGGTCAGGTGATGCATCTTGTATAGGAGCTCAATGGGAAAGCCAGCAACATAGAGTCTGTGCTCATAAAAATAACCTTGGATAAGAGCGTGGAGACAACAACAGTTGATAGGAATTAGCTATAGGGAGGATGGGATGTCAGGAATAGAGATAAGGGGATGTAACAGAAGGAGCATGGGGGTTTTTAGAGATTCTGGGTCATTTGTTGTGGGGTGAGTAGAGAGACACTCTACTCGTTGGGTATCTGTCCAAATAGGAAGGTTGGCTAATTGCTTCTCTACCTCTGAGAGTTTGCAGGCTCTCTTTACACTTTTATTAACTATGTTATTGAATACTTTTCAGCTGCCCTGTTCCATATATTTCATCGGTAAAACAGGATCTGACTATTTTCTCTGTCCTTGCCAATCATGACCTTGGACTGCCAGGAAGATCCCAAGATAACCACCTACCTGGAGGCTTTCTGCCAAAGCCCAGACACATTGGTGCCCTTCCCTAAGAGACCATCCATTGTGGTCTGTCAGTCCTCTCAACAGTACACATGACTTAGCCTGTACTCATAAAATGGTTGCGTTAAAAAGGGAAACACTGAGGGACTGGGAAGAGGTAGGCAGGAGGCAGTGACCTCAGGGGAATGTGGTCCAAGTTTTTGTACATGTATGTAAATGCCCCCATGAGAATCTTGTTCAGTTAATATAGACTGATATTTTTAAATGGCAAAAGAAGAGATGAGTCCAGATGAAATGACACATTAAAATAGAGTAAATTCAGCCGGGCTTTGGTGGCACCCCCCTTAAGTCCCAGCAAATGAGAGGCATCGGCAGGCAAATCTCTGTGAGTTTGTGCCATCCTGATCTACACATGAGTTCCAGGAAAACCTCCAAAACAATACAAAGGAACCCTGTCTCAAAAAAACAAAAAATAAAACATAGAGTAAATTCTAATAAAAAAAATTGCCACACATTGTACCCCAAACCAAAGAAGAAGGGCTGTAGATTTAGTTTAAATTCAGAGAAAGAAAATCTCTAAACCTGGAATCTAGAAACAGGAGGCCACTCACTGTGTTCAGATTCACGACTCAACACTATCCAAGTGCAAGCAGCTCACTGATAACTGAGTATCAATAGTCTCCAACCAGCTAACAGCTTCTGAACTGTAAGGACTGGAGTCAGCCTCAGCCAGAGCTGTTAGTGCAGATGAGTCAGTCATTGTGAGGTCACAGCAAGAAATGGACCAATGACAGCTCAGCACACCTCGCTGGTTTTCTTACCTTCTGTCACCAAGGACAGGAAAGCTAGTCTGTTCTGTTCAGTGTGGCAGTAGGAGCCTGATGAAACTGGCTACATTCAAATGGCTGTCCCCAATGTGTCCAGTGAGCCACTACTTCTTATAAAGCTAACATTCCTGAATCCACAAGATTTCCCAAATGGTGTCACCTGGTGGGGACTGTGTCCAAACACTTGATTCTTTGTGGGACATTGACACCCAAACCTTAACCAGGATGTGTTTTACTTTCATAATGAACCAGAATCATAAGAATGACAAAGCATCCCGCAACATTGGCCCTCCCTTGGTTATGGATTCTGACATTCTCAGGGTAGTAGGGGCATAGTGTTTTGCTTTTCTTTTAGAACCTAGCACCCTAGGACAAGGATTAATAACTCCACATGTCTACGCTCAAAGTTTTCAGGTTATTTTTCTGTAAAGACTGATTCCTGGGCTCTATAGGATGACTATATTGGGATGTGATGACAAAATTCTGTGTTCCATTGCACCCTAGGGCATGGAACATGCATCTGTGGGGGTTAAAGATGACACCATTCATCACATGGTCTCCATTAGGCCTGAGACTTCTCACCTGAAAAGCCCAGGATACCAGAGGCAGAAGCCTGATATGTTCAAAATGGTCAAGAAAATACTTGTCGGCCAGAACCCTAAGACAACCCATGTGCAAGACAGAGCCACACCTTGGAACCCTAGACCCTTCCTCTCACAATCAAAATTCCTTAGTTTTTTCACTTAAAGACAGAAATTGGTTCCTTGTGTATCTGGACATTCCCAAAATAAGATCAAGTACCTGGGGACTGAGTGTATGACAGGAATGCATTCTAATTAGTATTGGTGTGTATTCTCACATGATCAAGAAAAAACATGAATTCAGTCAATAAAGCTTTTTTCTAAGGGCCACATCTTCCTCTGTGTGATAATCTCTACTGCTCCTGAGTGCCCATTTGTTAATAAAGTTCTCTTATGTTTGAAGTTTTTAACAGAGACTTTGCAGGACACAGACACATAGTTACACATATAGACAAACACACACTCACAGAAACACACACAGATACTCACACAGGAACACACACACAGACACACATACACAAACATACAGACAGACAGACACACACACACACAAAGACACAGACACACAGACACAGACACAGACACAGACACAGACACACACACACACACACACACACACACACACACCTTCAATCAGACATGATCCAACTAGCTGTGCCCACCCCGAGGACAGTCCTTCAGGGTCAGGTGATGCATCTTGTATAGGAGCTCAATGGGAAAGCCAGCAACATAGAGTCTGTGCTCATAAAAATAACCTTGGATAAGAGCGTGGAGACAACAACAGTTGATAGGAATTAGCTATAGGGAGGATGGGATGTCAGGAATAGAGATAAGGGGATGTAACAGAAGGAGCATGGGGGTTTTTAGAGATTCTGGGTCATTTGTTGTGGGGTGAGTAGAGAGACACTCTACTCGTTGGGTATCTGTCCAAATAGGAAGGTTGGCTAATTGCTTCTCTACCTCTGAGAGTTTGCAGGCTCTCTTTACACTTTTATTAACTATGTTATTGAATACTTTTCAGCTGCCCTGTTCCATATATTTCATCGGTAAAACAGGATCTGACTATTTTCTCTGTCCTTGCCAATCATGACCTTGGACTGCCAGGAAGATCCCAAGATAACCACCT